TTAATAAGCCTACAGCAGCTTTTAGTCTCAATTACTCTTCATGTCTGTATACTTCAATATCACTGAAATAAGCCTGTAAATTTGGCATAGTGCTTACAGAGCAACTTTTATTTTTAGCACATTTCATCATTTTTTCTTGTGGCCCAGCAACGCAAAATGTGTTTCCCAAAACCATGGAACAGCATGCTTTTTTATTAAAATTATCCCCAGTACAACCCACAACAAATTCATGAGGAACATAAATATTTTTAGACTTTCTTCCCATCATCTAAGTGGCAGATAGTTTAGGGCAGCATTCATTCAACACAGTTGTGTGTTCCTTCTTTTCACCCCTGCAGAGTATGATGGCACATCATTGACTGAAGTTCTGCTTACAGTGCCAGATCATTAGTTATGTTAATTACATTTGTGTTTGCAAAAAATCTGAGGAATTGAAGCTCTAATGGACCGTGAATTATTTTTGTTTCAGAGATTGGGTCCGCCAAATACACTGCATCTACTAGTCAGAGATGTGAAAAAGGTAAATTAACTAACATTAAGCTTAACTAGCATTACATGTGCATGATTACATTAACTATGTCAGTCAACAGTAATAGCAAGCATAGCATGGGGAAAAGCAGACATTTGCAATTAGATGGTAACTGTTAGGGGAAGTTTAATTACTTCTTGTGACAAACAGTGATGTCAGTCTAAATAAGGTATGGCTGTTCTGCACTGCTAGTAATTTAGAAACTAAAGAGGGGAAAGTTTAGCTCCTAGTAATGTAGTACATCATTTGAGATTTAGGTTTCTACTGTTCCTTCTCTACAAGAGGCTTCCAATGCAGCATTACAAAGGTGGAGTGGAAGGAAAGGTCTGCTAGGTTAACTGGAAGCCACAATCACAAGCACAGAATTTGTTCCCTTTTTGTTTGTTTCCTTGTGTGTTTTTTTAGTTGCTTTTCTCCCAAGCAGTCCTACTTTCACTTGGGAGAAAATTTGTTCTGTTTCTCAGTGCTACAAGTCTTAAATCTGTTATTCATTTGTTTCCATTACATGCAAATTCATTCATTATATGTGAATAGGACCATTGTAAGATTTGTTGTATTTCCTCTCTTTGAGGTTTTGGAGCTTTTAGTCAGTAACATTTATCTATATGAAATAGCCTTTTTTTGCAAGGAAAATTCTAATATATTCCCATGAGGCTTAGATGTGGGAATTACATATTACTGGGTTAATATATAATTCATATTGATCTGCTTCATAGTTTAACACTTTTCTCATTTAGTGTTTGTCTTTGAGTGTTACTAATGCTCTTTTTCATTCTTATTTCCGTCTGTCTCTCCTTTTCATTGCCTTTTCACTCATTCAGCGACAGTCTCGGGGATTCAGTTGGGTTAACATGGAGGTGATGTGTTTGCTTAGGTTATAGTTGTTTCATCATAGCAACTGCTCGGTGGTGCTGTAGAATCAGTTGTTGTTGTAGGATGTAGCTTGAACAATGAAGCACAGTTTTCAGCTCCTGGTTCTAGCAGAGTTAGTACCGCTATCCAGTTTTTAAGTGTAACAGTGGAAGTCATAGTCCAGCTTTTTCTTTGATTCTGACCTGTACATTAATCTAAATCATGTTCTGCATTGTAGTCTTTGTAAAAACTATTATGATGAAATAGCAGTTTCCTTTAAATGTGAAGTATGCCTGATATTAACCGTGAAATTAAGCCATGCTTTTATATTGTGTTACTGATAGTCAGTTCAAAGTTATTTAATGTCATCAATATTACCTTAGCAAGCACCTTATGCTTGTATGGACACTGACATATTGTATGACTAAATCAAATGAAAATTTGTCCTCAGCTATAAATACTGTCAACAAGAAAAAGAAACAAAAAAAAATCTGGCCCCAAAAATTTTCATTACGTGAATCAGTTATAATTAATTTTGTACAAGTATTCAGAGACTGAAAGAAGAGGCTGTAAATAATAACTGTGTGCCAGTTTAAACATGATACAATATGTCTAACCAGGCAATTTAATGTATGTTATGTTTTCTTATTCTAAGTCCTAATTTTTTTTATTTTTATTTTTTTAAATTATCTTTTGGTAGGGAAATCTTCCACCAGATTATCATATCAGCCTAATAGATATTGGTCTTGTACTTGAATATCTCATGGGTGGAGCTTATCGTTGCAACTATACTCGAAAAAGCTTTCGGACTCTTTATAATAATTTATTTGGACCAAAGAGGGTAAGAATGAGTTCATTCTGGATGTGGCCATCGTGCTGCTGGTAAAAAAAAAAGTAGCAATAGTAAGTTCCTTTGTCTTTGTGCAACACTACATGTTAGATTTTAAAGAAATGCTGCAGGACTGGAATTGAAGCTCTGGTAGTGAAGTTATATACAGCAATTGTAGAACATCTATGTCTAAGGATGAGTGGACCCAAAACATGGCCAATACATTGATCTGGAGATTAATTTCCTCTTACTTCAGTAGTTTACAATCCAGGCATTTCTAACTGAGGTGTTTGCATATTTTCGTCTTCCTATTTGAGCTCTAGCTTGATCTTTTAGCTGTCTCATATCTGTAAACTGTATTGGTCAAGCCAGGCCTATTGATCAAGTAATTATAACCAACAATAGCCTTAACTTGGGTAAGGCAGAGAGATTAGTTTGAATACAGAAGAGCCATGAACCTATTACAGTAAGTTCTGTAAAGAACTGCTCTGAGCATTAATCTTATCCTATGGAAGCCACTGCAATCTCAGAAAAGCATTTCATAGTCATGTACCAATCCTGAGAATATCAAGCATGGCCTTTGCTGTGTTAAAAAAGTCTGTTCCAACCAAATAGAATAATTTTTTTTCTCATTAGCTTATTTATTTGTTTGATTCAGCTTTGAACATTAAGTGAAGCTTCCTACCTTGATTACAGAAAGCCCCACACAAGGAAGCACACTAGGAAACTAGACCCACAAATGATCAGAAGGTCACTCAAGGCCCAAGCTCTAGTCAGTTTATATATAGTACATATATGGTGTAGTACTGTCTGATGGAACAAACAAATAAACCTTTTACATAAAATGTAAAACAAAGATTTGACAATAGAACAGAGGGATGTTTTAAATGGCAAATTGTGAGAGGTTTGAAGATGTATGTTTGACTGTTTCCTATGGGTATCTTTACACTGTGTGTGCATAGAAGCGCTATTTTTTTTGAGCTTTTGTGACCATGGAGTAATTTTAATTCTCAAAGCAGTATATTATTGAATGATTCATTTAACTCTTGTATCTGAATCAAAATATTTCACTTGAGTGCAGGATGGAAAATATTTTCTAACCCATTGCCCTCCTGCAAATACAATTAAGAGGGAGATTAATAGGAAGAATAGGAAGTTTAGTAATAAATACTGTACATTTGTAAATGAAAATGTGTGTTTCCTTGATACTGTTTGGTCTTGTAATTTTCCCTCTCATCTAATTGATTCTCTTTTCTATTTTTAATATTCAGCCAAAAGCTCTTAAACTACTAGGGATGGAGGTAAGTTTGATTTATTGTAAAATACTGTTTTTATCAGAACATTTCTTGGTACAGTTCTGCTCTGGCTCTTAGCTTTTTCACTGTTACTGTGGCTTAAAGTAAACTGCAACTAGATAGGATCTTCCATTTTGTAAACATCCTATGAAACACTTCTGATATCTTTTTATGGGTAGGGTCTTGAGAGCTGCTTAAAGCTTTGCTCAGTAGTCTTCAGGCAGTTCGTAGCATTATTATACAATAACACATTCCATGTTGAAACATATTGTAGATTGAATCATTCAGTTCTGAACATCAATTATACCGAAAAGAGAATGTGATCCAGCAGTGCTTCTTATGGTCAAATCCCCTTTAACCATGAAGTAACAATTTATGCGCAAATGAGGTTTTATCATAGAGAAAACATTTAACCAGAGTGAAAAAACAAGGTGATCTGACATGTTAGATGCTGTCCTCCACTATAAAATATCCTTGCTACTGTGATGGTGCCATGCTTTGTAAATAATTAAGCTGATCCAGAATTTTGGGTCCAACCCTTGCCTCAATGACTTGTGCACCTGCAGAAATCTCGGATTGGTAAGAGTCAGGTCTGGGATGATGCCTAAAAATTCTCTCAATGGAGGTAGTTGCTGAAAAAAGTTAGTTTCTGAAAAAGAAGTATTAATATAGACCAGGAAACCATTTGTACAAAGAGGCTATAGGTACATTTCTCTATGAAGTTGGCTTTTATTAGTGCTGTCACAGTATCTGCACACAGTATATATACATGTTGTTTGTGTTACATTTAACGTGAGCTGTAGTCACACACAAAGCCTCTATTTCCCCAAGCAGAGAAGCAGCTTGCTTCCCTACAAAGTCCAGGTTATGTTTCATCTCTCTGATCAGCTTCCTATTTTCTGGTGGCTCTAGGTCAGAAGTTCAGACTCTCAGAGGTCTTATTCAGCATTGATCACACGTTGGTTGCTTAGTGCATCTCCAAAAGCACATTTTGATTTTCCCGTTTCAGTGAGAAATGTTTTATATGGCACAAACTGAAGCATTCTCCCCACTTGACAGCGGGTGTAGCGCACTCCCTTCTTCCAGGAGAAAGAAGAAGGTGAAAAGAAAAATTAACACTTCGCTCTAGGTGAGAAGTTCAGACTCTCAGAGGTCTTTTTATTCAGCATTGATCACGTTGGTTGCTTAGTGCATCTCCAAAAGCACATTTTGATTTTCCCGTTTCAGTGAGAAATGTTTTATATGGCACAAACTGAAGCATTCTCCCCACCTGACAGCAGGTGTAGCACACTCCCTTCTTCCAGGAGAAAGAAGAAGGTGAAAAGAAAAATTAACACTTCTCTTGCTGAAGTGGTCAGTAAATTTATGCGACTCCAGGTGTCTGCAGTTTGTTTTAATTTTCAGTGTTAGCAGCTCTAAAACAGGAAGTTTGGACTCCTTAGCACTTTGCCTTTCTTACCCAGGGTTTTGTTTTGATTTGGTTTTCCTAGTGTCGGGAGGACCTAATTTTTGGTCCTTCATTTGAGGTTTTCTGTTCTGTGCTTCACAGAAACCTAAAACTTCCAGCTTCTTAAAATTGCTGGAAGAGAAATGCATGCTTAATTGTTGAGCTGAAGAGTTGTCTTTGGAAAGCTGGGATGTGAGGCTGAACCCTCAATTTGGGTTTAAGTTCGCATCGTGTCAAAAAACAGTGCATTATGTTGAGCTTGCTTGAACAGGAACTAATTTTGTAGAATGGTAATTGCTTTTGCTTGCAATCTGCTTCTGAGATTGGAATCAAGGTCTACAATGATGATGAGCTCTGTCTACACCTATATATGCAATGTTCTTCCTACATTATTTAAACCCTAATTTTCCCAATCATGGCTTTTCTCCCTTCAGGATCCTGCTTCATTGTCAATACTTCCCTTCAGTTACTTCCATGTTGGTTCCTGTAGTAATGGCCTATCCTCCCTATCCCTTTAAGAAATGGGATACTATTACCTTCCTTGCACTGCATACATAAGAGGAGATTCCTTATTCAAAGGTATCTTGCTGTTCTTAAGGACGCTCTCTGCCTGTCTTTTCCATTAGCATGTAACCACCTGCATATCAGTCTGAAAACTGCTTTGATACCTGTAAGAGACGTAGGTCTGTTATTCAAGAATAATATCAAATCAGAAATTACAGTGGAATTACAGTGAAACCTATTCCTAGTGAATTCAGGTTTGTTAAAGCTCCATTGACTGCAGTGGAGTTCATTATATGTTAATTCCTTGCAAATCAACTTGTGCAAATACACATGTGTATAGATCTACTTAAAATGCAGTGTGAAGTGATGTCTTAGGTACAGTAGGGTTCTACTGTACTTATCCAAGATGGGTGACTTGTAATTAAGTATGCAAGAAGTGGTTCTCTGAATAAAATGTTAAGCTGTGTATGCTAGTCCAGTGCATGCTCTGTCACATGTTCTTCATAGTTTTATTGCTACTAGCATTCATTGTAGCAAACAGCAAAAGCAAATTAGAACTTTAACTGTTAGTATGTCCTGTCAGTACTTGTTCTGTGCATGGTACCATTTTCAGGTAAGCTGTTAAAAACTGACGGGAATGTTTATTCTTCTTTTCTTCCCAGGATGATGAGCCTCCCACCAAAGGGAAGAAGAAAAAGAAGAAAAAGGAGGAAGAGATCGATATTGATGTGGATGACCCAGAAGTTAGCCGTTTTCAGTATCCCTTTCATGAACTGATGGTGTGGGCTGTGTTGATGAAGCGGCAAAAGATGGCACTCTTCCTTTGGCAGCGAGGGGAGGAAACCATGGCAAAGGCACTTGTGGCCTGTAAACTGTACAAGTCTATGGCCCATGAGTCTTCCGAGAGTGAGCTGGTGGATGACATCTCTCAGGATCTGGACAACAACTCAAAGTTAGTAGACACAGAGCAAAGTATATGTTCACTTGATATAGGGGGTTGTTAGACTTGCTGAGAAGCTTCACTTTTAGTAAAGTACAATTGATTTCTAGAATGTAGGTTCACAGATTGCCATTTGGAGCCTATTTGTCAACAGTGAACAAGCCAAAATGTGGTCTCAGAATCTGAAGGCAACACTAGCAAGAACACTTATGTTTTATCTGACAGAATACATTCTTTCTTCAGCTTCTTTCTCTGTAAAACTAGCTAGTTTTATTTCACAAAGTTATTTTCAGGATTCACTCACATAAATTAAGGGGTATCTAAGCTGGCCTTAAGATGTTATCAGTCTAAACTAATTCTCTCTGGTCATTAAGAATTTGTTTGGAACTTTTGTAGACTGTATCAAATGAAGCTTGAGACGAGGTTGTTCTTGTCATTGTGTGTGTGTGTGTAAAAACATGACCTCCTGTGAACGGAATTAAAACCTCAAATGTAAGCAAAAACTGATTTCTAAATCAAACTTCACTGGACATTCCTTGCATTTTCCAGAGATTTTGGCCAGCTGGCTGTTGAACTCTTGGACCAGTCCTATAAACATGATGAGCAGATTGCCATGAAACTACTGACCTATGAATTGAAAAACTGGAGTAATTCTACTTGCCTGAAATTGGCTGTGGCAGCTAAACATAGGGACTTCATTGCTCACACATGCAGCCAGATGCTCTTAACAGATATGTGGATGGGGCGACTACGCATGCGGAAAAACCCAGGCCTTAAGGTATTTCTGCTCTGCAGTGTTTTTCAAAGATACAGTTTGTAAGCACATAGTGTATGCATAGAATAAATTGGCTTACTAATTATTTATGTTTTAAGTATATACTTGTTTTAAACCTATTTTCTGAAGCTTTCTAAAATCAGGATATCTAAGGAACATTACGCTGTGACAAAGGAAAATACAAATCCATAAAAGACTTGTCATGATTGGAATCTGAGAGCAAAGTTGTGGCTTTCAATGGATGATGAGATCTGTTCATTGAATACATACACCTTTGATTAAAAATTAGTTGGATTCAAGCAAAATGATGACTATTAGGGGTCCACACAATGGAAATAGAGAGAAAGTTAAACAGACTTGGACATGTGCTTCTTACACTGCTTAATATTGTACCAGAAGACACAGGCTCAGCGTTGAAAACGGTGAAATCTATGCAATTGCATTGTGTGAAACTATGTTATATTTATTTCCTCCTGTGATTTGATGATTTGGTCTCTCTTACTGATTTTTGTATTTACCAATTGTTGGATTTACCAAAACACAGTGAGGAGACTGGCACAAAAGAGAAACATGAGTGAGTCAGTGTTACGAAAGCAGAACAGTGTTTGCTCGTGTGTGTTTTCATGTGAATATAATCCTTTCCTTGTTATACAATACAGTTGCTGTTACCTGTATGGAGGCTCATATCATCTCATTGTGATGGTGCCACCTTCGGCGTCACCTCCTTATTGCCATAAATCCCCCGTTACTGACAAAGCGCCATGCGTATCTTCCCAGGTCATACCCCCAAGCTTGCTGACATACACATTGCACTCTGTGTCATTCTCAATTTATTTTCACTTTCTCATGTCTCCCTCTTAAACATGTTTAAAATCTTCAGACAAGTGTCCTGACTTTCAGAGTGCACCATGGTGCTTTCTAAATCTGTTTACTGATTTCCTTTCTTTTCTCCAAGGTATTAATCAACCTGGTAATGTTCTAGTTTCATTACCTGCATTCATCTTTTCTTTGCTCCTTTTCTGTACTACATGTACTGCAACTCATGCTTGGGTTTCTGTATTTCAGCAATCTCATATAGTAAAAGAACTCTCTCAGTGTTATCTGCAAAGCTTTTTTTACTTTTCACAAGTTTTTTAGCTATTAAAACTGATTATAGTAGGTGACTAAAGTTAATGTACACTCTAGTAGCAAACCTGATGCCCTCTTCCAGCTACCAGTGTGTCCATTTCATTACTTTTTTCTGCACAACTCTACTTCTGGAGCACAATTACTTAATTGCAGCATGTTCACAGAGATGGGAAGCCTTCCAGGGCACCATCGTTCCATACAAGACCTCATTTCCAATGTTTCCTAGGTATTACTTATTCATTTTTGCAGGTTTGAGGATAGTAGAGTATATTTAACACTATACAAAAGAAAATACTGTTTATGGGATTTGCCTTGTTATCTATTAATGTAAACAAATATTGCCATCTGAGTTGAATTCTTTCTTGTGCAGGTTATAATGGGGATTCTCTTCCCTCCCACCATCCTTTTCCTAGAATTTCGAAGTTACGATGATTATTCTTACCAGACATCAAGAGAAAACGAAGAAGGCAAAGAAAAGGAGGAGGAAAATGCGGTCAGTAATGGAGATTATTAGGAAGTTCTAATACCTCAAGAGTGCTTAGTTTTCTAGTTTCTCTTATTACACTATAGGTCACTCAGGTGAAAATCTCAACTGCCTCTGTGGGATAAAAATCAGTTAAGAGTTTTCAGAGTATGTAGGCTGGGTTCTCAGGGCATGTAAATTATCTGTGTAGTTGCACAAATTTGTGGAATTAGTATTTTTGCATTTTTAAAAAGAGGTCTGTTGCTCAGAGGAAGCATTATGTAGTTAACAGATGGCTGGGGCTGATGTTGAGGAAAAGCTACTATTTTTACTATTGTATATCAATAAAAACTGATAACTTTGGTCTTCCAGGATGCTAATGTGGATGCAGGCTCCCGAAAAGGAGATGAAGAGAATGGAAATAAAAAACAAAAGAGCCTTCCAATTGGAACAAAGATTTATGAATTCTATAATGCACCTATTGTCAAATTTTGGTTCTACACAGTAAGTCATGGCGATTAAACTGATAGTGATAATTTTTCTCACATCTGTGAAACTTAAAGATTCCAATATAAAAATAATAACCAAGTAATAAATAAATAATACTGACTTTTATGGAATCTGATGAGTAAAGCACTCCCTTTATTTGGAGAAAAATGCATAGACAGTGAAAAGAATGAACAACTGAAGCTTATGCTGTCAGCCTGTAAAGCTCCTGCACGTATGAAGGAGGCCTTGTCTGACTAATCATCTGCCAGACTCAGTGCAGGTTCCACAATGCAGTCACTCCATCCGAACTAGGCTGGATTCTCTTGCTTTCTAAAAGGCTCTGGATCCTGTTCTGCATTCACATATACTTTAGGACTCAAGGACTAATGCCTAGTATCAGTACTATATATCAGTTGTGGAGTCTCCTTCTCTGGAGACATTCAAAACTCGTCTGGATGCCTTCCTGTGTAACCTCATCTGGGTGTTCCTGCTTCGGCAGGGGGATTGGACTGGATGAGCTTTTGAGGTCCCTTCCAATCCCTAACGGTCTGTGATTCTGTGATTCTGTGATTCTGTGATACTTGCCATTTGCTCTGTTGACAGGTAGGCTGCAATGAGTGCAACCTAGATAGAAGCACAGATCCCAGTCTGCTAAGACTGATTAAGTAATTTTCTCTTCTTTAAAGAACTAAACCCAATCTAAACTAAAATATTTATTTTTTAAAAGCATCCGATTTTCTCTTTGTGCATCAAAAATTATCTGGTGCTAAACTCTTGTTTTAATAAAACAGAAAAAAGTATTCATGCTACTGCTCATAAATTTTGTATGTGCCCTGTAAAAAGGATACCGATTTGTTTTTTATTCAAAGTTAGGCCTTCCAGTGCCTATCCCTTTCTGCTACCTGTATTAATAATTTAAAAACAAATTTCCTATTTAATTTCAAAGGAAAGCATTCCACATGGTTTCACAGTGTAAAGAAATTACATTTTAGTAGATTAAAAAAGCTCAAAGCACAAAAAAGCACAAAGGGTCAGATTTAGAGTGCTTTGGAATTGTTGTTTTGCTTCTTTCAACAAAAGAGATAATTCAGCCGCCTGGATCATGTGTTCCACAGCATCTGTCATTCCTTCAGCTGCTGGAGGCCCATGGCCTCTGCCAGTGTATGCAGGGCAGCTGTAGGAAGGGCATTGCAGCAGGCCTGCTTCCTTCAGAGAATAAAATGTTTTTTCCTGTGTAAATAAGGGTTTTCAACACCTGAATCTTTCACACACAGCCTCAATGTATGTGTTCAAACATGTTTGTGTGACTGTTAGAGTTAGGATGGGCTTCGCTTTCATGCATTGTGCAGGCCCTGCAGCTAAGAGGATTTTACTGCCTCCTGTTCAGTGTTTCTTCTCTGACTGGTGAAGTAGCTTTCTCTGCTTTTACTGAGTTAGGCTTCAGTAAGAAACTTGCTCCTGAGACTAAGGGCCACTTAAAGTAACCAAAATATTTGCAAACCTACTGTTCATGCAGATGGATTTAAGTAACAAGCAGAGGAAGAGGTGTTGTAGGGACTGATATATGAAGTCTGTATGCCTCTGGCTTCACATAGAGTATATATGAGGAAAAACTTCTTTACTGTGAGGGTGACAGAGCACTGAACAGGCTGCCCAGAGAGGTTGTGGAGTCTCCTTCTCTGCAGACATTCAAAACCCGCCTGGCCGTGTTCCTGTGTGACCTGGTCTGGTGATCCTGCTCTGGCAGGGGTTGGACTGCATGAGCTTTTGAGGTCCCTTCCAACTCCTAACATTCTGTCATTCTGTGATTCTGTGAAATGATCTCAACCACATTATTAGAGGGTGGAGAAAAGCAAGTGGCCTGTGTGGCTCTTTATTTATTTCCCCTACCCCTCCAGGCAGGTGCCATTCTCACAGCCTTGCCTCCCCATTCTGCTTTAGATCTGTTTTGAGATTGTGGGTAAACATTTCACATAGAATATCTCTTTCTTCAGAAAACTCCCTTTTCTCCTTGGAAAGTCTTTTGGTTTATTACTGCCTTGGTTTTATTTTTGGTTTTGTTTTACCCCTTTTTTATTATTTTTATTGTTTTTCTCCTGCAAAGCCATTGAATCCATTGGTTTCTTAACTCTGGACTTCTGAGATCTCTGAAGTTTTTAGTTTGGCCGGTCACCAAAGGCTGCATGGAGACACCAACATCACCAGTTTGACATTTACAGAAGTTGTTATAGAAAACTGAGTGATAGCTCTATTGATTTACACTAATAGTCCAGAACTTCCTGAGAGAAATTAGTGGACACTGATTTTATTTTGTGTGTGTGTGTGTGTGTGTGTGTAAGTCATCTTGAGTAATTAAATAATGCCTAACTGTGGAAGGATTTTGGGATCCATCACCTAAAGTCCATAAAGAATATACTTTTTTATTATTTCTTTTTTATTTTTAGATATCATACCTTGGTTACTTGATGCTATTTAATTACATCATCTTGGTGCGGATGGAACGGTGGCCATCAGTCCAGGAATGGATTGTCATCTCCTACATTGTGACGTTGGCTTTAGAGAAAGTAAGAGAGGTAAAGTCTGATCATACCAACTTCTCATAATCCTTAAAATGAAGGTCACTCTTAGAGGTAATACTGCCATGGACTTGTGCAGAGGGTTAAGAAAGCCATACATGAGAGAGAAGATTCTCATATCCAGAGAGTCCCAAAATGCCCATCATGGACAGAGTTTCATTTATAACCCATTCCTATACATAAAAGCATTATGTTATTGGGCAGAAAGGTAGTAAAAATGAATGCTGTCATTCTCTTATGCGCATTTCCAAGGAAAGGCATGGCCATAACCCATGAAGGAAATCTCAGTAGGTACTGACTTTTTACTACTGACACAGTCCTTGATGAGAACTGCAGGCAGAGAGATATTTTGGGGAATTAGCCAGAAGTACTGACTGATCACATTACTTTTGTTATGAGGAAGACAGTATAAAAACTACTACTGTATTCACATGCTGTAGTGTGGTTTGCACTTGGCCTTTCTTTCTCTGATTCATAATTCCCACATCTCATGCTAACTGTATTTGGAGATAAACATGGATGCCAAGTCAGTAAGCCGGATGTGTTTGTTTAAATGTTATTGATTCAAACATACAACAAAAAAAGGCTTAAAAAGCCAAAATAGAAAAAAAATATGAAAAGGGGGTCCAGAGGAGGACCACAAAAATTATCAGAAAGCTGCAATAGCTCTTTTATAACAAATGGCTGAGAGAGTTGAGGTTGTTCAACCTGAAGAAGAGGAGGCTCTGGGGAGACCTTACTGCAGCCTTTCAGTATGTAAAGGTGTTTTACAAGAAAGAGAGAGAGACTTTTTTACCAAGGCCCACAGTGACAGGACAAGGGGCAACCATTTTAAACTGAAAGAGAGCAGATTTTACCTGGACGTAAGGAAGAAATTTTTTATGATATGAGAGTGGTGAGACACTGGAACACATTGCCCCATTCCTGGAAGCATTCAAGGACAGGTTCAACAGGGCTTTGAGCAACCTGATCCAGTGAAAGATGTCTCCTGCCTGTAGCAGGGCAGTTGGACTGGATGATCTTTATAGGTCCCTTCCAACACAAACCATTATATGTTTCTATGAAAAGGAAATTTTGCCTGCTAGTAACTAAAAATATTGCTGCTTGAGACAAATTTTTCTGCCAGTGGAGGAGGTCTCAGGCACCTGTTGAATGTGACAAGATTGGTCTTTTCTTATGGCTGTTACTTCAAAAAGATTACTTAGAGTTTTTCCTACTTATTTCTTTGTTGTTTTTTTGTTGTTTAGTTTTTTGTTTGTTTGTTTTATTTCAGATTCTGATGTCAGAGCCTGGCAAGCTGAGCCAAAAAGTGAAAGTTTGGCTGCAGGAATATTGGAATATTACTGACCTGGTGGCTATTTCAGTATTTATGATAGGAGCAATTCTTCGCCTACAGAACCAGCCTTATATGGGTTATGGAAGAGTGATTTACTGCGTAGATATAATTTTCTGGTACATTAGAGTACTAGATATCTTTGGTGTGAACAAATATCTGGGACCTTACGTCATGATGATTGGAAAGATGGTTAGTCCCTAAATTGCTGTAAATTATGTATTTCAGAACTTAGTGGGAAACTAAATTCAGTTCTCATTTTAAAAAGAGGCTTGCAATCTGAGTAGGACTCTGAATAAAGGCTGTGAAAAAGTTGCCAAGTGATGTACACACACAGAGGATGCAGTACTCTTGCTAATAATTGCTTGATTCAAGAGGGAATTTTGTTTTATTTTATTTTTTTCATTTTTGAACCAGCTTGTAGAAACTTGTTCCCTTTGCCTGCCTTCTGCCTCCCAAAGCCATAGCAGTAACAGATTGTCAATACACTGGAATCATCCACAAAAACATCAGTTGTGGACAGGAGATGATACAGCAATGATTCTATCATCTCTTTGAAACCACAGAAGAGGTCTCTGCTGAAAGCACAGCATAGTGCACTTGGTGCAAGAGAACAGGGATAGCAGAGATTTAAGCATTTTAAGTCTGTTTAAATATAAACCTAGTATTCCTTTAAATGACCATTTTTACTGCATTTTATATATGCTTAATTCGTGAGCAGTATTTAAAGACCAATATTAAGAAAATTATCCAGGGAAAAGTGTTTGTTCTCTTGATATTTTCTTATTTACCTTAAAGCATGCTGGTGCTACTGTACTACCTGCTGAAGCTAAGAGCCTCTGTATGTTCTCTCCATGCAGATGATTGACATGCTGTACTTTGTGGTCATCATGCTTGTGGTTTTGATGAGTTTTGGAGTAGCCCGCCAAGCTATCCTGCACCCAGACGAGGAGCCTTCTTGGAGACTAGCTCGCAACATCTTCTATATGCCCTACTGGATGATCTATGGAGAGGTGTTCGCAGACCAGATAGACCGTAAGAGTAGAATTCATAGTAAGAGTCTGTTTCCTGTTTCTTAGGCAGATGATCAGATCCAAATTAATGACTGTTTTTAATTTGGAAGTAGTGTTTTGTCTTTATGGTTATGTTGTTGTTGTTGTTTTTTGACAGACTTTAGAGACTGAATAATTTCTGTTCCCCACCTGCATGTCTTATCTCTGTCTATACTCAAATTCAGTTAACACTGAGTGATATAGTCTGCAATACTCTCCTATCCAAAAGTATAACAGTATTAAATCTTCTGTTTACTTGCAGGGATCAATAGTGATTATTCTGAAATATTCTTTTGAACCAATGTTTTACTAATAGTCAGTTCCAACAGAAGAAGAACAAAATAAGTATCTCACACGGAGATGAAATACATATATCCTTTAATCTCCAACTTCCAGCACAAGCAGTGAACTAATACATTTTTACTTGCGTTGATACATCTGTCTACTTTCCAGAAATGTTTCCATTTCATGAATCACTCATGGTTTTTTTTTCTATACCTGTGGAAAAACAAGACAACAAAACCCGAGAGCTCTGCTTGCTTAGCTTTGGGTGTGGAAATAGCCTTTCTTATGTAAAAGCTGCACAGTTTAAAAAAATAACTGTCAGTATTTTAGAGGAGATTGGAAATGTCGTGTTACTGCTAGCTTTGTGTCAATATTTGAGATTTCTAAGACAGACAAACATGCAGCTGGCCTCCTATTGTGTATCGCATAGCAGCTTGCATTATTTCAGAAAAAGTACGAACTATTTCAGCATTCTGTGTGTGTGTTATTTCAACCATCTGCATATATTGACAAGGAGTAAAGTGGAAGGCTGAAGAAATTGAGGTCTTTCAGTCAAAAAACCATAAGGATCCATCATCGTGAGAAACCTTTATACCAAATGTCATTAAAGTGTCCTTTAATTGCTTAGAAAGGAACAAAAATGTCATTAGTCTGTTTCTGAACAGTGTACACAGCTGCAGAGATCATATAATCTTCATTTTCCTTATGAATGCTTGTCTCATTAATGTATCTTACTAATTATCTAAAATACTCTTGGCAAATATAAGGTCAAGCCAGTCATTTATTGTCTGATATTGCAGTTTGAGTGCACATGTGAGCCAGTGTGATCTCAGGATCTCTCAAGTGGGTTAATTCTCCCATGGGGAGGAGTAGGCTGTGACAAAGTATCCCTTGCCTTTGTGGCTCACAATGTGCATTCAAATCCAACTTCACTTTGAAGAATGTTTGCCAATGTAGACAGTTATATACTCAGCATCCTTGAAAGATTTTGCGAGGAAAAAAAGTTGGAGCTTTTCAGTTACACACGTTCAATCCATCTGCTTGCTCCATTGCCTTCTTAGATCAGGAGCTTTGATGTGTCAGTAGTTTAAACATAAGCTATCCTGGAAATGTGTGGGTTTGTTGCTGGTTTAATAGTGAAATAAAAGTGGCTATGCAAGGCGTTCTATTGGTGTAACTAGACTGCATTACAATTATTCTGTAAATTTCTTATGTTTAAAAGTCTATGGACTGACTTCTGAAGATCTTTTTGCTTTCAATAAGAAATTTTCACTCTGATTGTTCCATGGTTCTCTGTAAACCCACCACAGAAGCAACTTCAGAAGCCACTGGGGAGCGGTTGCTATGGGCAGCCTAACCTGACTATGGGTCAAGTGATTATGGGCAGTTTTCCCAAAGGTCCATGAGTGTAAACAATTTATGGAAAAAATACTGCATCAAATTTTCCATTTGAAAAAAGGTAGGTGGACTTTTGTCAATGGCTTCAATGAGAGTAGAATGTCACCTAAAGCTGAAGATCACAGATCACAGAATTGATTCTTTGGCACCTTTGGAGATCATCTACTTGAACTTTCCTGCTCAAAGCAGAGTAAACTAGAGCAGGTTGCTCAGGAACTGTCCAGTCAGGTTTTCAGTATCTTGAAGGATGAGGACTGTGCAACCTCTCTGGTCAACCTGGTTTAAATGGAATTTCCCATATTTCTATCTTTGCCCACTGCCTCTTGTCCTTTCACTGGATACCTCTGAGAAGAGTCTGGCTCTATCTTCTTTGCTCCTGCCCACCATCAGGTATTTATGACATTGGTAAGATGCCCCCCTGACCCTTCTCCAGGCTAAATTACCACAGCTTTCTCAGCCTTGCCTCATTTGTCAGATGCTCCAATCACCTTAATAATCTTTGTGACCCTTTACTGGAGTCTTTCCAGAGTGTCCATGTCTAATTTCAATGGAGGAGCCCAGCACTAGACACACAGATCCAGATGTGGTTTCACCAGAGCTGAGTAGAGTAATTACCTCCCTTAGCTTTCTGGTAACACTTTTCCTAATGCAACTTGGGATGCTCTTGTCTGGTTCACTCCATTTACAAGACTGATTTTACACAAGCAGTAAGTAAGTGGCACCTAGTACTCAACAGCAACCTATCCTAAAGCAATAGAGAAACCTGGCTGAGTTCCTTGCAGTAGTGTTATTTTTCTTACAATCACCATATAGGGGTTGGCAAGCAAGTGTCCATACTGGTAGTCAAAATGGGCTTTAATGATATTGCACACTGTAACAGCATCAGTGTCATGACTGTTAACGGAAACATGACTATTCAGTAGAAACAGCTGGCAGACTCAAAGCCAGGGTGGTTCTTAAAAACAAAAAAATTATTTCATGTGATAACTTTGAGTTTCTGTGTTCGTGGTGACTGCCAGTTTTGTTTACTTGCCTGAAATATCGTGTATGTTTAAATGATCATCTGCCAGAAGCATTTTGTGATTTATTATTAATATCATGAAGTCACTGCCATAGGTAACATTTGGAGAAGACAACATGAAAAGGAAATAGCAGAATGCAATGCATTTTTAACAAAGACATTGTTTCTTGGCAGAAAAACTGTATTTTCAAACATCTTTTTTGCATTTTTTTTCTATATTATTCTATTGTTTTCTTTTTTTCTCTCCCTGCCTCCTCTTCTATTTTGTTCCTTTGGAATGCTGTTCAGTCTATGCCATGGAAATAAATCGTAAGTGTGGAGAGCTGATTATCTCATGTAGCTGAATATATTCATTATTCTTTTTCTTCACTAGATACTGGCATTTTAATTAGAGGGCTCACCTAAAATTCAGATGTGAACCTTGTTTGATTACTGTAATAGTTTCACTTGAAATGAAACAGAGGAAAAAATATTACCTCTTAATACAGACTGCAGAGCAGAAGTTTTAATTGAATGTACATTGGCAGAAAAATAATCCTTTTTTGAATTATGATGCATGAGTGTTAACGTGTAACTGTTTCCCTTTGATTATCTAGATGCAATGTTATTCTTTCTTCGGCAGTACTTTCTGTGTGAATAATACTATGATTTGCTTGAAGTTCCTGTTATACTTTTCTTATGATAAGCAGGAAACATGTCGCTCTGACATTTGAAAAACAATTAAAATATCTTTTATTAATTATAGTCTAAATGTCTCTTTCGGTCCACAGTAAAAGAGATTCTGCTTTCTAACAATTTGAAATATTTTTAGGAGAGATTGAAGCATTGGGGGTTTGGGTTTTTTTGTTGGTTATTTTTGTTTTGTTTTGTTTTTCCCCAAAATGCTTTAAAAACCTGGTTTGTCTGTTCACACAAACAAAGTCTGTAATGAACTCATTTGTCAGACTTAGTATTTACTAAGATTTCAGCTAAAGAACCTGTGGTTGATAAACTTGTTACCTGCTCCTAAATGGTTCCAAAAGTTAGCCTTGTATTTGAAATCAGATAAGATGGCACTGCACTTAAAGACAGAACAAACTTGCTGCATTTACCCAATTCCCAAACAGCCTTACCCCAAGACAACCTATGTATTCTTAGGATTAATTCAGGCAATTATATAAGTTTGATCAATATTCGCAATTTTTGTCTCATTTTCACCAGTCTATTTTGCTGTTACTATATCATTTGCATTTTATAATTTTATCTCTTTGGTTTAAAATTTTATCTAAATTTTAGCATTATTGTGAAAAATAAGGGAAACAGAAATTGTCCAAAAAGTGGTGGCAGGGCCACCTGCTGGTAACAGAAACAGCCCCAGACAGGACCAGTAATAGTCCATCTAGGGAGTCCAGTCAGGGGCAAAAAGACAGGGTCAGAGACAGAAGAAGGGTTCATCCAGGAGGCAAACACAGGTCCAAGGTCCATCCAGGAGCTAGGACTGAGACCTGCACACCTGACATAGCTAAAGCAGGGACAGGTATGCATAGGGGGTACAGGTGTAGACACCAGGTGAAGCTGGTCAGGATCATTAAGGCCTCTTCAGTACACTCAGGGTCCCAAGAACTGTTTAATTTATGCTCAGCAATCTAGAACCACTAAGTCAATTGTTTTATATCTTTGGCAAGGTATGCACACAAGTTTGATTGGAGATTAATTTTTTTTAATTCCACTATTAACATGTACATATGCACATTAAGATTTTGTCCTAGACTATTGCTGTGAGAAAAAGAAAATCCATACAAATTTAAGAGAAAGCCACACTGTGCAGTAAACTTGGAGCTGTCTCTCTGCTCACTGTTAGGGGAAATTATTTTGTATACTGTACATAGAAGCAGAATTTGAAGGAGAAATTATACATACTTGCTACTGCAAATAAACTGACAAAATATGCTTAGCTTGGCAAATTTAATGCGTGTGTCATCATTAAATAGATGTGAATGGTGTTTTTCAGTAATACGTTTCCTGTTTTTTTCTTCAGCTCCTTGTGGAGACAATCTCTACGATGACGATGGTAAACGCCTCCCTCCATGTATACCGGGGGCCTGGCTCACTCCTGCTATTATGGCCTGTTACCTCTTGGTAGCAAATATCCTGTTGGTAAACCTACTGATTGCTGTCTTCAAGTATGTACATGATCATGCACTATCTTTACTTTCTTATTGCTGAAATAAAGTTTCTGTAAGAGTCCATCAACTGATTTTGCAAAGATTTGCATTTGCACTCGATCTAACTACTCTATGAACATGACTAGCAAATACTTGGAATAGTGTGTACTCTGAGAGAGTGAGGAAAAGTTGCTTTGTATTTGCCAGCAATTGCACTAATGGATATGAGAGAAACTGGCGACTTCCAATTACCATGTAGTGGGTGCTGACAGACCTCAAAACTGCTCTGGAAAGATGAAAAATAGAATCCATGAAACCTGCTACATACGTGATGGCAGCCCATGTAACCACTAGCAAACGTGATTCTGTGATAGAACTGCAGAATGAAAATCTGAACATCAAAAGTGGGAGGCATTTCCACTATTGCTTCATCATCTGGCTTATTTTTCTTTTTTCTTGTTTTGCTTTTCATTTAGGAAAAAAATAGGGCATTACAGAGTTCTTATTTGACCCAGCAGAGGAGTCTATATTGCCTTGTACCAAAGCAAAGGATGGCTATGTATTGCTAAGATCTGTGGCCAGTCCAAGCAACGTACACTATGCACAGTATTAATGTTATTCCACAAATCTATATTTAGATTCTCTGGGAGTAAAGCTAAATAAATTTCTGCTGCTTGTTCTTTCTACCCACAGTTATGTTGCATGCTTTTCCTATCATGACCTAGGGATTTAAAAAAAAAAAGCCTTAAAAATGGAACTATCAGCTTGCTGGTAAGATTTTCCAAACACACCACCTGAGAAAAGCAGGTGATCCATTTTTGATGCCCATAAACACGTAGCGTTTGGAGGGCTTGTTGGCGTAGGTAGCTGCTATCACAACTACAGAAATAGTTCATAGCGTGCCCAGAAATCTACAGCTCACAAAGCCTGTCTTTCATTTGATGTATGTAGCTTAAAAGGTCATGAATTTTAAAGTGCTCAAATGGCAGTCACATTGCTGGGTTAAGGGGAGGAATCTTACAATGGCAGCCATTATTGACTGAAGGACCAAAGAATCAGGAAGTAGGGAAGTAGGTCATGCCGTTAACTCAAACCATCCCAGGGTGGCTGTCAGTGGGTGAGGTCTAGCTGGGGAATCCCCGCTATGCAGGAGACACAGCATGAATGAGGATTGTCGTTTATCATTGGTAAATAATCTCATGCATACTTAGCCAAAAGGAACCAAAAACTACATGTAATCAAGAATTCTCTGGCTTCAAAAAGATGTTTTAACTGGTTTTGTGAATGTAGATACTCTAGAGCGCAGGAAGTTTGAAAAGAAGTGCACAGAAAATATAAAAAAGGAAGTGCCAATATCACTGTCACCACAGAAGTGGAATGAGCTGTCTGAGCACACTTTAAAATACCTTGAAAAGCTTTGACTAAGACAGAACATCATGTGTGCTTTCTCTTAGTTGATCTGCATAACCTTGGTTATTGTTATCTCTGGATTGAATACTATCACGTCTATACTCCTTCATCTCCACTGAATTACAAAATAAAATATCTTTACAACAGACCTTATTTTGGTGTAGAAACGATGAGGCAATGGCTTCCAAGAACAAGGTCCTTTACGAGGATATGCATCATGTCTTCAAGTCAGAAGTTTGAGTGAATAAAGTTGGAATTTAGGACGTTTAGTGAGAATTTGAAAAGTCTCCTATGTAGGTCAGGCTGATTAGCACATTAAAGGCAAACTATGTGAAGCTTCTGGGTTTAGCATACAAAATACCTTTCATGGATTTAATACTTTGTGTAATATCAAATACTGGCATGTGTTAGAAGAAATACTTTATAACCAAGCCCCAAAATACCAATTACGTGATTCATAAATTGTGCAAGTTTCTTTTCATGAGCACCTAAAAAACTTTATAGAGTAGGAACAAATAATCTAAGAGGAAAACTGTTCTGGGTGGTACATAAGGGATGCAAGGCACCTCCTGCTTTGCTACCCTCACAGGGAGTAGTGAAATCGTGAGTTCAGGTGAATCATCAGTTCATCAGCATCAACAAATCGCTGAACCAAGCAAATCATGTGGCCTCATGTTGTTATTTAGCTGCTACTTTTTTCAACATAGTACTTGCTCAATGGTAAGTAAACTTAGGAGCTGAATAGAAACTGTACCTCTGTTCCCTTTCAGCAATACCTTCTTTGAGGTAAAATCAATATCCAACCAAGTCTGGAAGTTCCAGCGGTACCAGCTGATCATGACGTTCCATGACAGACCTGTCCTCCCACCACCAATGATTATCTTCAGCCACGTCTACATAATCATCAAGCGAATCTGCTGTCGCTGCAAGAGGGGTGAAGGAGACCAGGATGAGCGTGACAGGGGACTAAGTATGCAAGAAATCTTCTCTAAATTGAGCTCTTTGCACCATACTAGCAGAAAGCAGCAGATTTTCCAATGCTGAACTATTTTGTTCACATTGACAGTCAAGTGTATTTGCAGAAGACAGTATGGGACAAAATTTCTATCAAGTTAACAGTTCTTGGGCTTCTGAGAATATGGAGTGCTGTGCTGCCAGTGAAGACTTTCTTTAACGTGTTTCCTTGAAACAGTGAGATGTCAGCTACTTAATCCAATTTCTAATGAAGTCCATATGTTGGGAAGAACAGATTGAGAAGAAGGGTTCCCAGTTTCAAATGTCCTCTGTGGTGTCAGCTCTGATTGTGAGCAATCTGTGTCTAGGAGTATTCCCACTTTCATTTCTCCATGTTAGAGATTTATCTGTCATTTCACAGGGGAACTGTGAGGATTCTTCTCTCAGGAATTACTCTGTAATTGTTGAATATTATTTTCATTATATGCCTCAATGAAATAATCAGATGCTCACAATTCTCCCTGTATTTCTGCATTTCACAGGAAACATATTTTGTAAGCAATTCTGTTTCTACACAATATGCTTCCGAGTTAAAAAGGTAAAAAAAGTAAATTTAACGCTCCCTTCAAATACAAAGAGACAAATTCAAATAAAGGATTAAATGTTCCCAAGAGCTTATGTTTTCCGTATATTTTCCTTACATGATTATAAATTCTTGAAGCTCTTATCCACAGAATGTCTGGGAAACAATCTGTTATATTAGATTATCTGTTGCTTATAACTGACATCCTGTTAAGAAAAGCATCTGAATGAAGGAAGCCAAACTGGCAGAGATTGCCCTAGTCTCTATCCTGTAAAATACAGTCGGTTTGTTCAATGTGTAGTACTGCTGTCAAAAAGTGCAAAGGTCATTGATAAAATGTAGCCCCTCAGTGGATCGTCGTGAAAGCAGACGATGATCATAATGCATTACATTGCCTGCATGGCTATGGCCATCTTTGGCTGAGTGCTCATTCCCCATTTACAAAATTGTGTGTTCATTTAGTGCAGGAGTAGAATCTGCAATATCCGTATGTCCAAAATAATCTGCTACGGATTTAAATGGACTGTCAGAACTCCAGAAAAAGGAAACTCATGTTTTGTTCTTCTGTTCTGCACAGAGTTATTTTTGAACGACGAAGAGCTAAAAAAACTGTACGAGTTTGAAGAGCAGTGTGTAGAAGAATACTTCCAGGAAAAAGAGGATGAACAGCAATCGTCTAATGATGAACGCATCAGAGTTACCTCTGAAAGGTACCTATTATAAGAAATAACACAGCACTTACCTGGAACAATATTTGCTTTTTTGTGTCTTCATTGTAACCAAAACTGAGTTAATGTACAAAAGATGTATATATTGAAGAAAACCACTACCAATTCAGCAGCTGATCTGAACCCTGAGTAAATATCTGCGCAGGTGCGTCTTTCACAAGAGATTTGTTGTTCCTACTGGTTTGTCATTAAGGCTGCTGGTTTGGGTAGTGTTGGTATAAGAACATTTTTGTGAATTCTTCACCCATGTGAAGATCATAGTTATGCTTTTTACCTGTTTGAGCAAATTACTACTTGTTGAGCTTTCAACAGCTCATCTAACCATGAGAAACATGTTACAGCTTAATGACAAAAGCACTGAGGATTCTTCCCTTGGACCTGTGGTTTGCACTAGGGTCTGGCACTCAAAACTGCTGAATTTTAATCTCTGCTACAGATTCTCTTGGAAGCTTTGAAAAGGCATTTAGCTTTTCAGTATGAACTTCCCCATTTAAAAGAGAGAGAATATTCACATGTAAATCATTATGCTATTCTGAAAATTAGGTAATGTTTGCATATTGCTGTGGAAGCACACAGTGATATGGCACTTTTTTACCAGGTCACTTGGCAGGACTTCCGAAAGGCTCTGCCTATTCTGTAACTAGTCCTGAGTAAGTCAAAGGATGAGGTCTTTTGTCACTTCCTTGAAATGATGAAAAATTCTCCCTGTAATGAAAACGGTACCCAGTTTAAACATCCTTTCACCTTAATCTACCCCATGATATTTTGATGATGAACTATTACATATGTATACACATATGCCTATCTATGCATCTACCTGTGAGATATCTATATCATCTATATCTATATCATCTATATCTATATATCTAATCTTTTAACATTTCTTATGAAGTAGCTCTGTGAGCCATATAATTTTTTAACAAACATCCTTCTCTTGAAGGGATGTCCTGAGCATCTTGCATTATTATACATGAAGTTTGAGAATAGAGAAGTAAATGAAATCTGCTACCTGTATTCAAGTAGTTTCTATCATACTATTTATCCATGGCAATATGTCAAAACCCTAGGTATTGTGGCAGAGAATAAACCAGGGCTGGTAAGCCACACTGATTCGCTATGGTCTGTGGCCACAAAGCAGATTTGCTTATTTCTCATGGCTTCTTGCTCCAAACGCTTCATCTTTTGTGTGTGAGAGCAGCAGAATGTTAATTTATTTTCCACAGTTTATTTACTAAGTCACATTCTAATGCATTACTTTTATATGCATTCTCCTGCTACCATAACTTCTATTATGATATAAATGATAAAGAAAATGGGAAAAAATATTTTACTTGAACTAGGCAATGATTTAACTCCCTTCAGCTGATACACAATTGAAAGGTATTTCAAGAGCTGAAGTAATCCCATGCACACCAGTATATGCTCTCTCATACAGCTACAAAACCTGTTTTACATGCCTTGATGCTATTTTAAGTCATCCTTTGAGCATGTCTTTAGAAAGTATTTTTGTATAATTAATTGGACAACTGAATGAGAAGTAGGTGGCGCACTCAGAAATGTTAATAGTAGGCTGTCTCTAAGGGGTACAACTTTTGTACTCTCCTGAACTGTAAATAAGGGCAAAGTTCAAACAGCCCTCTAATATGGTGTACGGAAAGCATAAATAACAAGAAAATGCATGTTTTTGATGCTACACATAGGAAAAAAGAACGATGCATGATAGCACAAAATTCTGCCTTATGAAGAAATCAGTAGCTGGGTGCCTATAATGGGTTACTGCATCATTCCACAGCTTCTGTTCTATGCTTCCTCTTTTATACCCAACAGAGTTGAAAATATGTCTATGAGACTAGAAGAAGTGAATGAAAGAGAACATTTTATGAAAGCTTCTCTTCAAACAGTCGACCTTCGACTCTCTCAATTGGAAGAACTATCTGGTCGCATGGTGAATGCTCTTGAGAAGCTGGCAGGTATTGACAAATCTGAGCTGACGTATACACGTTCACGGGCTTCGTCTGAGTGTGATGCTGCATATCTCCTAAGGCAAAGCAGCGTTAACAGCTCTGATGGCTGCAGCATGTACAGATACCATGTTGGCGGCGATGAATTAACGTATGATGACAGTACCGCTCCTACGTCACCAGCTATGGGATTGCGTAAAAAAGCCCATTCTGTTGGTACCAAAGAAGATGTAGCAGACCCAAAGATGCTGGTTCCAGAACACCACACCAGTCTCCATTATACTTCTAGTGCTAATACAGTCACCACAGCAGATTACAGTAAATCTACATTAGAAATTGCTCAGAATGTTTCCAGACCCCATGGTGGTCCAGGTGGTTTTGGGGATGAAAAGCAGGGGATTTTCAAGGGTGATGGAATGGTTCCTGGAAGTATAAACCAGATGGATGCTGTTACAAACAGACAGAACACTCAGTTAAAAGTAGAACGCACCAAGTTAGAAGCAACCATCTCTTATCCCTTGGACAAATCTAAAGCAATGCGCTATTTTCCTCCAGAAACATTCAGTGCTTGTCAAACCACTATGATGAAGTCAAGGAGCTTTATATTTGCACAGGGTAGGAAGCTGGTTGGAGGAGTTAACAACTGGACCACAGAGTATAGTACCATTATGGATCAGATGTGCCCTTCTACAATTGAACAATGGGCCACAGAATGGAAATACGAAGTTGAGCAACAACTTTCTCAAGAACGTCCTCCAGAATACCCTGGGTTTACTTCTGAGGCAGAAAGGCAAGCAGAGCAGAAAGAGATACAAATGGACACAGATGACAGTGATGTTGGTGAAACCGGTATGAGTGCCTCTTATACCTCCATGCCTGCCACTGTCAAGGCTGAGAAAGAGAATTTACTGTCAGTAAAGCCAGAAAGGACTTCAGGGTTCCCATCAGTACGGTCGAAGAGTTTACACAGCCATTCTCGGAAAGCCAAGTCCATAAAGGACAAATTAAATAGACCAGGACATGCAAGCAGTGTAACTAATCTGGTGGTAGCATTTGGCAGTACAACAGAAGAACGGAAAGCTAGGCAAGAAAATGCATCCACAGAAACTGAATGTTAAAGTGGCTTATGGCCTCTGTTTTATCGACAGTCAAGAAAGCAGCATGGCTAACTAACAAATTATGGAATTTAAACATTAATTTCTAAAGAAGACTTTTGCATATAGTTGTTTCTTTTCAAACTTAAAAGATACATGTTTTGTTCTTAAATAAATGCTTGCTCAGTCAGGTGAGAGAGAGATGTTCTTTCAGGGGCAGAGAAAACCTAGGCACAGTCCACAGCTGCCAACAGTATAGATCTGTCTTGGTTCCATTTCAGCCTCCCTCATAAGCTCATTTACTGACAAGCTCTTTATAAAAGCTCTTCAAAGAAGGACAATATTATCATGTAATAATTTACAAAATGTTTTTTCTTCTTTTGTATCAGAAGATTTCCTAAACTGAACAAATTTCTAACCAGCCTTAGTTTTTATCCTTACTTCTGCACCTGGTTTCTTTGTGGCCATTGTGTTTTTCAGATCAAAGCAAAATTGTTGGAGGCAAGGAAAAATTATGCAGTTCCCTCTTTTACTTCTGATTTCATGCATGCTGCTTAGCTCCTCTTTCAGAAAGGCACAGCATAGCAGTTTTCATTCACTAAAATAGATCTGAGTGGCAAAATACAGTTGTGTTTGGAGAAACCTGACCCAAAAAGCCATGTGTAGACAGGTTTTTGACTTGTCCTTGAACTTTAGTGACATACTCTTGCTTTCAAGATCGTATCTATCCCCAGCCCAAAGCATGCTGACAGCCTTAAACTGTTGAAAAACAGTAATCATTGTTTCAAAATGTTTAGGGAGGTATGTGAAGTATACAGAGATTTGAATAATATGAATCTGAGATCTGCATTAGTGTTTTGTATAAATAGGGATTACAATAAAAATCCATGTAGAGTAAGAATCTAGCTTTTTTTTAAATGCCTGCAAGGGAAAACAAAACAGCAAAGGTGTTCTGACTGGGTGAGATCAAAATGTAGTGTTTGAAGCAAATCTACTGTGACAAATTCCTCTTTCATTCTGCAGTTTCATTATGATGACGCATGAGGAACAAGGAGCAGTTTCTAAGAGTCAATCTAAACAAAAAATAGGTTTTTTGCAGATGAGTATAGAAATTCCATATATTTTCTTGAGTAAATTTCAAAAACAGATGTCAACAGAAAAAAAAAAAGTCTTTACAGTGAAGTGTTTTTTATCCCTCTGCAACTAAATCTGGAAGTCCACACCTATAATTGCAGGTTCCCAGCACACTTGTCTCAGCAGTGGCATTCGCAGTACTAGTTTTTGATAGTTTTCTTCACGATCGTATGATGTGATTTGCCTCATTCTTCTCTGTTACCTTTCAGCACCTCTCTTTGCAGGGGATGTGTACCATTGTAAAGACAAGAAAGAAAATGAGTTAAAAGGCCTGTTATTTGTTCACAGAATGCTGGTCAAAAGTTTATGCTTAACTCATTAACCACGAGGACTTATTCATACACTGTTTTGAAAAGATCGAATTTCTTGGGTTTTTTTCTGCCACCATCAGGTCCACGCTATGTAGGTCTCAGTATCCCCCTTGATAATCCTGCTGACAGCATTTTTAAATGCAGAAATTCATGGCAGTTAACAACAATGTGTTAACAAATGTGTCGTTGACATCAGCTTTTTGTATTATATTTTCATACTCCATCCATACTTACACTTTGAAGTAGTGTTGCCATACTGAATGATCATGGTAACTGCCATAGACATTTCTGAATGTTCAGTCACCATTTGCTAGCTAGCTCAGTCTTATTAGCAGGTTTACTGGTTTCACTGTCAACAGTGTTCACATTTTGCTTCTCTTTTATTCAGCTGTAGGGAACTTGACATTTTGTGAAAACAGAATGACATTTGAAATTGTTTCACTTCCATGTTTACTTCTGTGTTACCATTCTATGGAACTACATAGACATTTTGTATGTGTGGTTAAAATAGCCTCCAATTTGCCAATGCCTTTTGATTTTTTGCCTGCACACTCGCCAGAAACTGAATCATTAACAAAGGATGCAGCTTTTCAGCACTTTGCTAAACAAGCAGTATGCACTGTGGAACAGAATACAGTGTGTTGCATACCTCTTGTTACATTGTCTTTATAAAAATGTGTGTTAAATCATGCTCTGTTTGACCAGTTATTTTTTAGCATTTACATTATAAATTTCAGATAGCACATAGATTTAAAAAAAAAAAACCACTTTTCCTTTGTATTTATGTATTTCCTATGTGTAAAGATATTTATAAAGAAACATGAAAAAAGATGTGAAACTAATTCAGTAGAACAAATTTTTCACTATAATGATATCAAAATACTTATCTGCTGCTTCTTACGCAGTACATGGGCTGAACATTTTCTAAGCAAAGTTTATTTTTTAACATTTGCCAGTAATTTTCCATAAAGTTCTCTATACAGCGGTAACTTTATAAGGCTTGAATGTTTTCTGTGCTCTTACATAGCATGAACTCAAATGATAACCTCTCTGCCATTAAATGTGAACTACACTAACCTTGGCGGCATCATTTTAGACACACAGCCATTTTAATAAGATTTAAATATAGCTCTGTATGTGCATAGAAGACCAATAGTAGATTTGAAGCACACTGAAGACTGCAAGTCTGTCTATGTGCTTTCTGGAATACCAGTGAAAGGATGCAAGCACAGGCTTTGCATTTCCGAAGAGGCACGTTTAATGCTGCTTTTCAGGAAGATGCCTCCCTCCTCCTGCTTAGTATGTGGTGACTCCACAGCAGTGTCCCTGTGAATTCCACTTACCATTTTTTATTACGTGCTTGACCCATACTGAGTCAGGTCAAGCTTAAAGGCTTGTAGTCGAAGACTGTGTCTATGCAGAGACATTACACTGAGGTAATTTAAGCTTGTTCATCTTACAGTGTCTTGCAATACAGACATTTCCCTCTCCCTCAAGGCAAATGTCTTAAATGGTGACTATCTGTAATATTCACATAGGCAGGTTCTTAACTATACCAGCTGATTCCACAGATTACCTTTCTACATTGCATCCTTCTGGGAATAGCTTGACTTAGCTTTTGCAAGCCTCTCCTATTGCAGAGTCACTCTTTAGGAATTCAATAGCTGAAAACCAAGTTGATTTTCCATATTATGAATTAAAGTAGCCATTGAAACCTTCCAACTATAATTTCTCCATACTGCTGCTTTGGATGCTTTCCTAGATTCTGGGCTTGACTGTCATCTTCAGCAAAATATGTATCTGTCCTTCTAAATAAAAATTAAAAGACTACAGGTATCTCTTGTCAGAAAACAGGAACGTGACGAGGGTTTGTAACCAAGGATGTCAACAGGATTATTTCATCAGATCTGCGAGATCCACAGGATTGAGCCCTGTGAATGGTGTTCTGGGTCACAAAGCCAGTTTGCTGCCAAGCACTTGCTATGGTGGAGGTGAGTTTTCAGAGTTACAGCAGCACTTGGGCACGTTGGGGTCCCACCTAGTAGTGCCAGTGCCAGCATATCTCTTCTGCACCTCTGTCCTGTCTGACTGGCCGCTTTCTAGTTGAACTGGTGTTACACTAAAAAGCTTGTTATGAACAAAAATTTACACCTTTAATGTAAACTCAGGAATTTATTGTCGCTGTAATTTTAACAGTCTAATATATGAATTATTGTAAGTCTAGATCTAATTACCAGTGAGGAGAGACAAGAGGAGAGGAGAGAAAAGAATACTACTGCAGGGGGGGGGAAAAAGCAATGAGGTAAAATTTATAGACGCACATTTCCTACTATGTACCCCCTTTTTTTTGATGTGATGACTTGCACTGATCCTCTCTCTGGGTCTAATGGTCAGTGGCTGCAATGGTGGTGGTGAGGAAATATTGCCAGCTGTCAACATCCCAGGTCCTTTACTAGGATAAGCATGATGTTGATGACGTTGGTTTCTTTTTCCTTATTTTTTGCTTGCTTATGGGCATTTTTATGTTTGCTACCAACTTTACGTCTTGTTTTTCTTCATTGGCCTTCAAATCCTACAATTACACCTGAATTTCCTAGTCATTAGAAAAATTGCTTTCCCAGCTAAACGAAGGCACAGCTAGAGACAGGTTAAGGGAAATCAGACAAAGCAATCCTGACAAGCCTCACTCCTGAGGCCTTACACGGTCGGTATAAAGCCTGTGGCCTGTTACTAGCAGTGACAGTACTCTCTATACTGGGCTATGAGGCTGCATTAGCCCTAGAGGAGTTTTCCTCTCACTACAGGTGCTGCAGATAAATCCTCTACTGTGTGTAGTGGTCACCAGAGCAGAATATTTTAGCCTAATTGTGGATTTTGAGCGCCCATTGGGATCCAGTATCAGACAGAAAGGCAAAATAGATGTAAGGACCTGGTTGATAGGGCCATTTAATGCCCATTTCAACTGGTGCCAGGGTCCAGGTGGGTTGGGGTAGTCAAATAACAATACACAGCAGTAGTTTGGATTGCAGGCTGACAAACCACAAGCCTTGGGAAAAGTGAGACAAGAACTATAGATTTCCTTTAAACTGCAAACTTCTTTTGCTCTTTTCCACTTTTAGCCTTATCTGCCGAAACAAAATCTGATATGGCAAAGTGGTGCTTTATGGTTGATGCCCTGTATCTTACAATGGATGCAAGGTATGTCTTGATTTGGCTTGGCTTTACATTATGCTTTGCAGTTGTTCAACCAAAATATTTAAGTGCTTGTATCCACCTTTTTCTTGGTGTTAAAGTAGTTGTATAATTTCATTTGCCTGCTCCTCCTATGTCTCCACAACATTAAAGCCCCTATTAAACCACGATGCTTCATCCTATATGATTCTAGATGCAAGCATCTCCCTTTTCTTTCAGTCCAGTGATTGGACCGCTATGCTCAGCAAGTTACTATCTGAACAGACCAACAGCCTTCAAAAATGACCATGGAAAAAGACTGGATTCTAGTTTAGGAGCATTGCTAATCTGATAGTCGCTATCACAATGCCCATGTAAAATAGCCCGAGCCAAGGAGGAACATTGTAC